CTCTCTCTCTCTCTCTCTCTCTCTCTCTCTCTCTCTCTCTCTCTCTCTCTCTCTTTCCCTGGTAGCCCAGGCTTGCGGGCGCGGGCTGTGCCGGACCAACAGGACCACGGCCGAGAACGCCGCGCGGCCGATGCAGGGTCGGCCGCTGGGCTTCCTGGTCGCGCGGCTGTGGGGCGGCCGCCGCAAGGGGGACTTCGCCGCGCACCAGCTCCTGTCCAGGCCGGGGGGCCGCATGGACCCGCTGGTGTCCTTGGAGGCGCGGTGCCGAGCGAGGGAGTGGCTCGCGGCGCAGCCAGGGTCTGAGTTCCTGTTCGCCGCCGAGCGCGGGCGGGGCCCAGACGAGGGCCCAGAGCCGTTGCGATTGTGATTTGGGGAAAGCAAAAGGTCTCTCCTGAGGGCGTTCGAGTTTCGAGGGGGGGCCCGAGCCGTTGAGATTGCAAGTCGGGCGATAATAGGGATAGCCCCCCATCGGGCCCCCAGAGGGCCCCGGCCCCCCTCGCCCGCGATACAGCGATGACGAGCAGGGCGATCGTAGCGAGGTTCGGCGAGGGGGTCGACGAGCGGGGGGATCAGTCATCTGTGCAAGTCCCGCAGGGGTCGTGATAACGCAGGGAGCTCCACTGACCATAGATGCAGGCGTGGGTTTGGAACAAAAGTGCAGCAGCGTCGAGGCGTTTTGATCGTGCCCCTCGCGTGGGTCGCAGGGTTCGGATCAGGGAATCCCCCACCCACCCGCTCCCCCATCGTTTTGCCTTCTTGGGCCGGGCCATTGCAACGTTCTGTAAAGATTGATTTTTCTCGTGGGCTGATGACATCACCCCGCCCCCTTCTTTGTCTTCCCCCTGACCCCCTTCCGACAGCCATTCGGTCAGTCGCTCGAGACTCGAGCGACCCGCGCAGCCGCGGCGGCGGGCAATGTCATCGAAGCGTTGCAGGATCGGTGGCAAGACGCCGGAGTCTCTTGTCTTGTCTGGCGTCGTCCCGAACGAAGACCTGCTGTCAGAGTTGATGAGTCCACGAGCTCGATCGCGGTCCCCCTCGCGCAGCGGCGGCGGCCCGTCCAGCAGCGTGGCCAGCGCCGCGGACATTCCACTCGAGGAGGCGCTACGACTCTCGTAATTGTCTCGCGGGGTTCGGGTTGGACATTTGTTCCCGGTTCGTTCTTCAGACAAATGATTTTATCCAACGTCTGCTTTCAGCGCCCCTCAGGTCGTTCAGGGATTGGCCATCTAGATCAGATTATTTCCTCCTCCTCTTCTTTTCTTCCTTCTTCTTCTCCTCGTACCCCCCCTCTCCTCGCCCTCCCCTGCCCCTCCCCGCCCCCCTCCCTCGTCGGGGCGTCGGGCGCGCGAGACTCGAACAGGTCCTCCAGGAGATCGAACGCGGCATAGCATCCTTCGAGAAGGATGTGCGATGGGCCCGCAGTCAGGCCCATCTTACCTACCCGTCCTGCTCCTCCTCCTTCTTCTCCTCCTGCACCGCACCTGCTCCAAGTCGTCTTCCTCCTCCTCTGAGCTCAAGCCGACGATCATCACCGACCTTGGCCGTTGGCCCCTGTGTGCGCGCTGGAGCCGAGCGCAGCAGCTACAGAAACTAAGCGCCCAGAAGCAGTTCGTTGCCGAATATGCAAAGGTCAACTCTTTGATGGGATGGTGTCCAGCTATCCGCCTTGCAAGGGCAATGTCCTGTTGCGGGGAAGATGCCGGCGACGCGTGCGCTCGGGAGCTCCGCCTTCCCCCCCCCCCTCTGCCTCCCCCCCCCCCCTTTATCATCCTCCTCGGGAAGGGGGCCCGTCACGGGCGGCCCATCGCTTCCGTGGGCAGTCGAGTCGGTTTCAGGGTTGGTCTGGGTTTGTTCTGGGCCCCTGGGCTCTTCGAAGCATCGATGGCCGAGCGAGGTTGGCGGGGCCGTCGCTCGGGGGCTTGTCCGAGGGGCCGCCAACCATTTTCGCAGACGAAAGGGTTCCCAGGATTTCGGGGTGGTGCGGGGTTGCGCCACCCCGAAATCCTGGGCCCGAGCTTTGGTGCCAGGAGGGGCTGTTCGGGGGCGCGCCCCCGCCGCTTTGGGTGAAGTGGCGCCGCGGTTGGGTAGGCTCGCCCCTCTCGAGGGCTGCCCCCCCCCCCCCTTGAACGCGCCGGGCCCCCTCCTGAAGGCCCCCCCCCCCCCACACGCAGCCCGGAGGTTATCAGGGATAATCCGGAGGTTATATAGGGGAATCCGGAGGTTATTGGGGGTTTTCCGGAGGTTACAGGGGGAATCCGGAGGTTATCAGGGGGAATCCGGAGGTTACGGGGGGGGGCCCGGAGGTTATGAGGGGGGATCCGGAGGTTGCGACTGGGGGCCCGACAGGGCCCTTGAAGAGGGGGCGCAGAAACTTCAGGGGGGGGGGGATTGGCGTTCAGAGGGGCGCAGGGAGTAGGGCCTGGAGGACAGGGAGGAGGGCTGTGGGGGAGGACGAGGACGAGCTGGAGGGCCTGGAGGGCAGGGCTTGGGGGGCAGGGCCTTCGCTTTGGGGCGTTCCAAGGGCGTCGGCTATCGAGCTTCGACGTTTCGAAGAGCTCGCCAGCTGGCGCGCCCTTGGAAGGACCCATAGCAACGGCTGCGCGTCTTTCGCCGGGCCTCCTTCCCCCCCGCCAGCGCCCTGCTGCGTTGGAGATTCCTCGCGAGGAGACGCAGCTTCCCGCGCTGCCTGCGGCCCCCGCCCTGACGGACTTGTCCCTCAAGACCGCGGCGGCGGCGATGATCCAGCGGATGCGGCAGGGGGACAAGATCGCGTTGGCCGCGAACTTGTCGGCTTTGGGCGTCGTGCATTACGGGTCCATGTGTTCCGGCACCGACGTGCGTTGCGAGGCCATGCAAGCATTCTACCAGGCCGCGGGAGGAGGTGGAGGAGGAGAGGAGGGCGATCATTGTAAGGATTTTCAGGCCGAGAGGACCAGGATAACAAGGAGGTGGAGGACGAGGGGGAGGAGAAGGGCCAAGGGGGGAGCCCCGACGATCCAGCTTGGAGATGCCGCATTTGGCTTAAAATCCTTCGGGGGATTTTGGGCCAGATCCGCCGTCGCCCCCCCCCCTCCTCCCTCACCAAATTCAATCCCGACGATCTAGGTTGGAGGTGCCAGATTTGGCCCAATATCCTTCGAAGATAGATTTTCGCATGAAGTCGAACATCGGTTCTGGAACTGGCGTATATCATGTCTTCCTCCTTGTCTTCCTCCTCTTCCTGTTCCTCCTTCCTCCTCCTCCTCCTCCTACCTCCTCTCCTCCTGAGTTCTTCCTCCCCCTCCTCCTCCTCCTCCCCCCTCCTCCTCCTCCTCCTCCCTCCCCCATCGCAGGAGACGCACTAACCGCGCGCTAGAACAGAGCGCGCGCGCGGCGCGAGATGCAGAGGAAGAGGAGGCGGAGGTGGAGGAGGAGGAGGAGAGGAGGAGGAGGAAGGAGGAGAATGGGGGAGGAGATGGAGAGGGGAAAGGAGGAGAAGGGGAAGGACGCGGCGGTGTATATAGTTGGGGGCCGCCAGTGTCCTCTGGGGCCCGTCTCGGCGCTCTGGAGACAGTCTCATGCGCGCTAAGATCGCTCCAAGAGGGCCCCGAGAAGGCCCCAGGAAAGGCCCAAACGGATGCTACAACGCACCCCCCCTATTGTAGTATCCGTTGGGGGTTCTCTTGAGACTCTCTTGGGCTCTTCCTGGGGCCTGGTGGCAGCCGCCAGATTCCTCTGGGGCCCGTCTGGGCGCACTGAAGCAGGCACAAGAGTTCCAGGATCGCTCCAACAAGGGCCCAAGAAGGCTCCAGGAAAGGCCCAGGCGAGGCAGGCCCAGACAAAACGGACATCGATGTCCAAATTGTCCGGGCGCACCCGCTGCCGCCGCGGTAGCGAGGGGGGGGGCAGCCGACGGGCGACGAAGAGGGGGGGGCAACCAAACGGATGACAACGCACCCCCCTGTTGTAGCATCCGTCGGGGGTTCTCTGGAGACTCTCGTGGGCCCTTCTCGGGGTCTGATGGCAGCCGCCAGATTCTGCTGGGACCCGTCTGGGCGCTCTGGAGACAGTCCCAAGAGCGCTGAGATCGCTCCAACAGGGCCCCGAGAAGGCTCCAGGAAAGGCCAGGGCGGATGCTGCAACGCACCCCCCTGTGGTAGCATCCGTTGGGGGTTCTCTTGAGGCTCTCTCGGGCCCTTCTTGGGGACCTCTTGGGCCCCCCTTGGGCCCCTGAGAAGCTTCCGATAATGAGGGCGATGGGGGGGGGGGTCGGCCGCCGAAGGTCTGCCAGAAGTCCTTGGAAGTGAGCCCTTATGCGGAACCGAAGTGCACGCACGTATTCTCCTGCGACATCAAAGAGTCAGCTCGTCGTTTCATCATGACTTTCCGCCGGCCCCAGTACCTCTTCGGCGACGTGGCGGGCATGTCTGCCCCGCGAGCTTTCGATCGCATATCTTCCAGCACAGTTGGAGTGCCAGGCAGTCTTGACGTTCTCATCGCCGGGTTTGTTTGCGGGGACGTCAGCTCGCTGAATGTGCACCAGGGCGCCAACAAGGACTGCATCGCGAAGGGCACCAAGAGGACTGGCAGCACATTCAAGGGAGTTTTAGACTACGTGGCGTCCAGGTTCCCCCGCGTCATGTTGCTCGAGAACGTCGAGGCCATGAATTGCAAACCTGACGATGGGGCGGGGCCGAGCAACGGCGAGGCTGTTTGCGCGGCCTTGCGCCGCATCGGTTACGCCGTTAGGATGGTGACCCTTCAGCCTTCGGACCACGGCGTGCCTCAGCGACGCCGTCG